AACAGCTAACCTTTCAAAACATCCTTTACCTTCATAGTAGATGGAAATGTAGTAACCTCAAACTCTCTAGGAAAAATCCTGGGTCCATCAAACTTACCACAGTAATTTGAAATGGAACAGTAACAAGGGATAGCCAAAATGCTTTATAAACCTGACAGTGAAGCATGAGTTCAGTCAATCTGCAAGCACTGCTGCAAGGCTAAGACAATGGGCTAAGCTGCCAGCTGCAGACCTTTGTTTGCTAACAGAGATGGGAATAAGGAAGCTCTTACCACTACCTGCAGAAATGAGGAAAAAAAATGTCTTAGATGTTTCTTGAAGCCTTTCAGCTACCACATTTTTAAGTTGTGACATAAACCTGGAAACCTCTCTTGCATGGGCACAGCAAGCACTAACAGTTTAAGCATTAATCTCTCTTCACATGGTTTAATTGGTAACTTAGGGCCTTCCCTAGTGTCAGCCCCCAAACAGGAGAGCTTTTCCAAAGCTGTTCTTTAAGGCCAAGTTTGAAAATGTGCAGATAAAGACTCCAACTTTACTACACGAATGCCAAATCCTCCCCATTAGATCATTCTTGAAGACAAAAACACAAATCCAAGAACATTTACTGAGCCACTAATAATAATAACTCAATAAATTCAGCCTCTAGCACAGCACTACGTTGCACTAGCAACCTTCATAATAAAGGCAGGAAGACATTATGGAAGAGAGGAAGAAAAGGCTGGAAAAGGCAGTGAGCTAAGCTGGTGAGAAAGCCAAGTCCTGGCTGTCAGCAATTACTCACCAATAAGATATGTGGTGAGCAGAAGCAGAAAGTTTCCAAACTCAAACTCTGTCATATCAGACTACCATTAGGAATCAAGTCAGCAAAGAACAGAAAGTTACAGCAAAGAAAAAATCCAACTAAACAGCACCAGGGATCACACAATGATTTGTTAAATGAGCTAGCTTGGAGCTTTCATTAGCTGTAACATTTTTGCAATATAAATATTATTCCCCTTTTTTTCTTGTTACAATATTGATTTAGATGCATCAAACATAGTAGAGGTAAGCACTGCTGGATTTGACATCTGCTGCAAACAACAAACCTGTTTTGTTTTCCTATATACATTTGCTATTCATCAACTTTTTGACATAATCTGTGCATTTTTATCAAATAAATCTGCAACTAGCAGTTGCTCATACTCATTCTGTATGTAGCAGTCTTCATGGAAGTACCAATTAATGGAGTGACTGGGATGGGTATTTTGCACCTTTATATAACAATAACTAAGAAAACCTTTCAAGAAATGCCCAACACACATCAGTGATGACAGACATGTGGACATGGCAGCACTGGGTGACCAAGCACAGCTCTACAAGGCAGGATTACCTTTCCAGGCTGGCTCTGGAAATACACCTTGTTTTTACCCATCAAAACTTCTGGCAACTTCCTCCTTAAGAGAGTAGAATAATCAGTCCCTCTTGTCTCAGCATCTGGGATATTTGCTGAAGAGAGCTGTAAAACTAGAGGAACTAAAGGCACTTCACAAACATTCATGTTAGAATCTGAACAGAATCCACATAAAGAAGAACCTCAACTACTGATGGTCGGTTCTATTCACTTAGCAACTCCTGTTACAGCAATTACCAAAATCTCAATACTTTAAATCCTCTCTGCCTTTTTCTTTCATAACTCATGGCAAGCAAAGTGCAATCTGTCATTGAACATCCTTCAATACTAAGTGGCATCTTTTTTGCCATGGTGACTCTATCACTTGTGATATCCAAACGATTGCTCCCTCTGGTTGAATTCTGTCTAGTGAGATGCAATTCTATTAAATAAATCTATGCCAACTTTCCTGTAGTCCTTGAAATAGAACTGAAAGCACCATTTCCAGTCTTCAAAGATACTCATGGACATCCATGGAATATCTAAAGAACCATGGAGTATTCTTTCCCATAGTAAACTCACAGTTATCCTTCAAGTGCCCAATAATAATGTCAGGCTTGCAATCAGCCCCTTTAAACTGTGCAGCACAGGGATCACATCCTTCAGATAAGGTGTTTCCTATTCCACAGAAGTACAGCACCCTGCAGCACCTCCACAGCACTGAAGGCTCACCCAGACATTTACTGTGCCCAGGAATTTATGGCAACATTCTCATCAAAGAGCCGGAAAAGGATCTGTCGACTGCAGTAACTTTAGCTACACTTGCCTACAGAAGGAGGTCAGGAATCATCAGAAACTGTTTTCAGTACTACTGCACAAATCACAACAGAGATGGAACAGGAGCAACACCTGCCAGGTCACCACCAGGTGACTCACATTCGCCTCATGTACAAACATTGCTGTTTTTCACCACAGCTGAAAACATGCACAGGAGGCTCATTCTTGGCAACAACTACGATGAAGGGAGCATCTGAATTAAAAAAACTTTGTCAAACTTTTTATGAAAGGATTTAACTTTCTCCATGTGAAGCAGCTCTTTTCCTAGGAAACTACACATCTCAGCAATGGACTAAAACAAACACTCTACTGGAGACTCCAAACAGCACAGTGCCAATTCATGCCAAACACAATTATTACTGGTAGCTTTTCCTGGTTATTCTGGTTTCTTGCTATGAAGTGACTTGGGTCATTGAACATGGTCCCAATAAAATCTGCTAAAAAGAAAACATGCTCTATTCCCTAATCTCTGCAAGTCTGATTTGCATACCACTAAGATATTGCAATGTTCAAGAGGGATTTCTATCGGTGCAATACAGCCAAAGCTAGAGAAATCATTACAGCAAATAATCTTTGAATGCCCATGAAAATCAGAGAAGGTACAAATCCTTCCTTAGAGTCAAGCTTATTTTCATAGTTCCACTGATGCCGTGGCAGCCAGTAACAGCAGTACTATCTCCTATCTTCAGAAAATCCACATTTCAGAAGAAGAATCTTTATTTTCTAAATATGGTTTGCTTTTTCTGCAGCTTCATAACCATAAGGATTTACCCAACACTTAAATAGATGCTCTGTTTAAAATCCTTGTACTTTGAAGCTGACATTTTAAGCTTCTCTGAAAAGAAAGGAGGGTTTTCAATGTGTTCTCACAACCTTAAATCCAAAGGACTCCCCATCCAGCATTCTCTCTGCTGCTGTCAAATCAACCCTGTACAAGACCAGATCAGCAGGAAGTTACTGCAGCAAGCATATAACAACACCTCAAATGTTCACATGATATGTGCTCACTTTTGCTTCCAACTCTGTCCCTGGTCACCAGCTGTGTGACAGCAGACAGCACTTGACTGTAAAGGGCAGCACCAAGGCACTGCACAATACTGCAGAAAAAGAAAAGTGATTCAAACACCCTCCCAGCAGCCCACTGTAAGTATCCCAACCCATCCTAACCACTTCTATAGAATGGGGTTTTGCTGAAAATGAAGCACAAGCATTCTGCCCCAACCTTCCAAAGACCTGGTGGTGGGGCAGAAAGCCAAGGTTGGAAAAGACCTCTGGAGACCATCACGTCCAACCTATGACCCAACATCACCATGACAATTTGACCATGGCATCGAGTACCACATCTAGTCTTTCCTTAAACGCCTCCAGAGACAATGACTCCACCACCTCTCTGGGCAGTCCATTCCAGTGCCACCTTTTCTGTGAAGAAACTCATCCTAATGTCCAACCTAAACTTCCCCTGTGCAGGAGTGTCGCACATGGAAAGCAGCCAGGAGCAAGACCTGAGAGGCAGAGAGGTGGGGAAAGGAAGGAGCGAGACGGGGGTGCGTCTGCGTGTGCTGGGCCCATAACCGGGACGGGGATCGGAAGACACATGTGCACGAAGACACAGAGGCACAGAATGGAAAAGGACACGGGCAGAGGAAAAGGAGCACTGCAGGCAACTACAGAGGAGAGACTACAAACAACTCTACAGGAAGCGGCACCCGCGCCTGAGGAGCCGGGTCAGGGTGCGGGGTGCGGCCCGGGGCGCTCTCACCTCGCAGTCTCCGCGCCAGGCGCTTGGCCCAGGCCGCCCTGCGGGGCGCGGCTCCGTCGGGCGGCCCCGAGAGGCGGCCCGGCCCCTCAGCCCCGCCGCGCCCCGCAGGGCCCCGCCGCGCCCGCCGCCCGCCGCCCGCCGGGCCCCCGGTGCCGCTGCCCAGCGACGACGCGGCTCCGCTGCCCCACTCCACGTCCATCTCCAGCACCGGCCCCGCCGCCGCCGCCGCCGCCGCCGCGTCCTCCTCAGGCTCGAAGCCCGGGTTGTCCCGGCTCCAGGCCTGCCGTGAGCAGACGGAGAGCGGCGGCGATGGCGGGCAGGAGCCGGCCCGCGCCGCCTGCCCCAGCCGCTCCAGCTCCAGCTGCTCCCGGCCGCGCCGGCAGCCGCCGCCGCCCGCCATGGGCCCCTCCGCTGCCGCCCCTTCCCCGCCCTCTGGCGCAAAGCCCGCGGTGCGGAGGGAGATGTAGTCCCCCCGGCGGGCGGCGGGAGCGGCGGCCGGGACCTCCTTTCCGCCGTCCTTCTCCTCCTCCCACGCCTCCCTCCGCTCTGCAGGACAGCCCCGGACCGCCCGTGCGGCAATGGGGCAGGGTCGGCGCTGGGTGTTTGCAGTCCCGCTCATCCTCGGCGAAAGTACGAGGAGGCCTCGCGAAGAGGTTGTACTGGTTAAATTTGTGAGGAGCAGCCATTTCACATCATTTTAAGAAGATGTATTATAGATCCCCCGGCTCGGTCCAAGCCCCAGTGAACAGTAATGCAAGTACAGGGTTTTGAGGTTTTATTTAATTCCATTTACAGCAAAACACCGCTCGGCAGCGCAGAGAGCAGCGGGCCCGAGGGGCGACGCTCGCCCGCCGTGTCCCACCGTGTCCCACAGCCTCCGCCGGCACAGCCCCAGGGGCCACGGACTGCCCCGAACCCCAAAAGCCACCACGCGAACTACATTAACAAACAGTGCCCCGAAATGAAGCTACTCCCTGCTCCCCTTAGGTAGAGATTGGAAAAGAAGGGAAATATTATTTTTATCATCTCTTTTTAAAGGGTGACTTCGTTACTTTCGATGCTGTGACGATCTTGAGAATCCTCGGCACTTTCCAGCGTTTGGCTGCTGATGTGGTCAGAGAGCTCGGCTAACACGCGGTCGCGGCTCTCCCTGCTTTCCACACTCGAGTGGCTGTCCCTTCTCTCCCTGCTTTCCACACTCGAGTGGCTGTCCCTTCTCTCCCTGCTTTCCACACTCGAGAGGCTGTCCCTTCTCTCCCTGCTTTCCACACTCGAGAGGCTGTCCCCTCTCATACCAGACTTGCTACTGTCCCCTTCTGCCTCGTGGCTGTCGGATTTGGGCCTGCTGTCGTTTTCCAAGCTCCGGTCATGCGGGTGGCTGTCCTGCTCGCTGCTGTCCCGCCCCTGGCTCCGCTCAGACCACACCACGCTGCTGGCGTGCTTCCTCAGGGACCTGCGGGAAGCAGGATCCTCCCGGGAGACAGAGTGCTGGCTCTCTGCATCCATGTCGCTCTCATCTTCCTCAGTCGCATCATAGATGAGCTGTGTTAGAGAGCAGAATAAGAGCCATTGTCACCCCTGAGGAACTGTTTCATTCATTACTGCACTAATGCAGGCTGCTTGGACTGCAGGGATGCTCAAAGCCTGCATAATGAACCTCTGCCTGGAGCTACTCTGGTGTTTTATGGAGTTACGTGAGCCTTTCACATGAGAAACTCTCATTTGCTCCTGGCCTCAGATTTCATGTGTGCAAGTAAATCGTGACAGTGCAAACTGCGGTTTGGCACAGCTTGCATCAGCAAGCTGCACTCCTGCCCCAGTGCATTGGCAGTCATCAAGACCCCTGATCTGTGGTATCCAGAGAAAGGAAATGCATTCCTTCACTTATGCCTACTTTCCCCATATCAGTTTTTAAAACCAACCCCTATGAAATGCCCATTTTCAAGTTCACTCCCCATTTCCAAGAACATGGGCACCATTGGTCAGTGTTATTCACCTTTTTGGTGGCTTTGCGGAGTTTGATATTCTTCAACAGTGCAGCTTTTGCCCTCATCCTGTAGGCCACACTGTCACCTCTGCCAGCATTGTCTCCTCGGGTGAAAGGGAAAGTGGGGAATGGTTCAGTTACTGGAATGTCCGTGGGGAAAATCGTGACAACCTCTTCAGATTCATCCGTGTCATTGGAATCATTGTCATCGTCATCATCATCATCATCCACGTCTTCATGGCTCTTGCTTGACACGTCAGGAAAGGGCTGGAAAACATTAATTACACATCAGGCAAATGAACATGGAGGTGAGAGGGGCAGACTGGTGCCTGTCCTATTGGCCCAGGGCACAGGCACTGTTGAGGAGCTATGTGCAGGCACTGCACTGAGTTCACCTCCCCCTGCCTGGAGCTTTGTTTTATTTTGGGAGATGTTACTGCAAGAACCACACCTGAGTGAGGAAAATGAGAGCTGCTCCACACCGGCTGCCCTACAGCACTCAACAGACATGCTGTCCTTCAAAACACTTACCAGTTGTTCTGGGACATCCACACTTTCTTCTGAAGAGTAAAGGGTCTGAAAGCAACACAAAGCTCAATGTTAGTATACACAAAGGCACATACAGTAGAGCTGATTAGCATGTTGACTATTCTTTAAGCACTTAATCATAACTTGAAAATATTGGCATGGAAAGATGCTGTGCTTTCTCTTCCAGTTAGGTGTCTGTACCTGCTGAGATGATGCCAGGTCACTCTGTGGGTGCTGCTGACTCTCCTGAGACTGAGAATTCACATAGTCATTGTGGTACTTATGCAAGTGATGGCCCCTGGAGTCCTTAAAGAGAAAATAAAAAGGAGGGGTTAATCCTCAAAGGAGCAGGGAAAACTGCTGCATCCCAGCCTGTTCTTTCAGGCAGATGTGGCATCTGCAGTACCTAGTCCTTCTGTATGGGATGTGTCCTCAGCTGTTCATTGCAGTAGGAAGAGGACACAGAGCAAGTCATCATCCCAGATGAGCATTGATAGATAAGATAGAGAGTTGTGCCTCTCTCACTGGCAGAGCCTGGGCAAATTCAGATCAGTTTCTCCAGCTTGTTTTTATTGAGTAGAATTTGGAGTTATATCTAACAATCATTGCTTCTTCTAATTCTTAGGCCCTTTCTGGAGGGTCATTTATCTCCCACTTCATGAAGACTCTGAACTAAATGCAGTAGTTGGTTCTCAGAGCCAAGAATTGATTTTACAAGGGAAACAACTAGCAATGGGGAATGAATTAAAGAGCTATATAACAAGACTAAGTGCAGTTCACTTACATCACTCAAAAAAATAAATTGGATTAAGGTGCTCCTCCAACACCAAATATTGACATCTGATCCACACTAAGGAATATGGGTTATAGCAATTTTGCCATACTGCAGTCTCTTTCTCTTTTTAATTAACAGCTAACACATTTTTCATTTAAAAAAAAGATTTCCAGTGCTGGTCTGGAGATAGAACTAATGAAAGTCCACAACCAAGACACATGACACAGGAAAAAGTCTGTGGACATCAGTGGCTCTCTGCTTTAAAACTAGCTCATAACAGCCAGGTAAGGACATGTTCTGCAAGCATCTACAATCATAGAACAAGTACCAGAAAATGTGTTTTGGAGGACAACAAACAACAAAACAAAAATCAAAAAGTACTTATCAAAGAAAATTAACAGAAAGACAAAATGAGCTTACATATTTTTCTTTGGAGCTGGAAGAAATGGCATGCTGCTTGGATTGAATCACCTTGAAGGGAGAAAAGAGAAAAAACATTGATCAGTGTTTCTCGCTGATGTGTAAAGGAAGCAATGCAAGTACTGGGGAAAGTGATTGTGATTTACTCACTGGCCATGCAGCTGTGATGCTGATAAGGCATAAACACAGAACTGCCACCTTCATTGTGATATTTTACCTAGAAAATATTTTGGAACAGTAAGTCAATAAAGTACAATACCACAAAAACACTACAGGCTTTTCCTTTATCTTTGTATACTTCACTATGCCAAGACCAGGTCCCTGCTATGGATTCAACTTGCCCGTGCTAATTTTATTTCTTCTATCTTCTGTCACCACCTCCCACCCACCCTGTAATGATTTAGCAACTAAAAAAGTTACAAGAATTTTGAAAATGAATGCTAAAAAGAGCTGAGCAGTGGTGAGAAAAAACACACTGAAAAGGTGAACTGACCCCTGCTGTCTACTGACTTGCATAGGCAAAGGAAAAACTCTGTGAAAAACTGTTATAAATACCAGCTTTGGTTTATCTTCATTCATTTAACACAATTGTTTTGAAAAAGAGGCAGGTTAAGGCAAACAATTTGTATTGTCTTGTCAGCTATTTTGAAACTAGTTTTTAGGGTTTTTAACTTGAGTTGCTGAGTAAAGTCAGTTTACATGAACATAAACTGCTTTTATTTATAGATCTCCATTTCCCCATCCAGAAGTCAGAACAAAATAACCTGTGTTTCCAAACAAGAGATTAGGTGAAATAGCTGGTCCAATAGCATTTTAATAAATAACTGATTCCTGCTGAAATTAGGAGAGCAACAGTAAACTTCAGTGCTTACTGACCAGTTCCCAGAATAAGGAAAATCACTGAGAATTTAAAGCAATTTACTGATGAACAAGAGTCATTCAAAATTTTGGTAAATCACAGCAGAAAAGAAAGCTGCTTGGGACATTTAAATGCATTAGTAAAGGCTGGCCCTGAGACAGGACACTCTGTTAGAGGTATTGCAATTTCAAGTTTCACAGAGAAGTGTATCCCATTCACTGTCCCATCAACTCAGGATTGTGCAGCACAAACCGTGAGCCTGCCAGGAGAAACAGGACACTGGCAGGCAGTGATTACATGAGGAAGAAAGCTTTCTGTGTTCAAGCACCAGCTCTGAGGTTCTGGTGCATGATTCAGTGGCAGGATTTTCAGTAACCTTCTCCCAACATCTATCAGTACACAAATTTAAAATTGTGATTATGTGCAATACCTGGCATTGCTAAACAACCTTGCTCCTATAAAAGCACAGCTTTTTCCACAGAGAAATATCAAACATCCCTGCTCAGTGAAGCAGTTTTCAAAGTTCTGCTCAGTGTTTCCTAGGCTAAAGCTGCAGATGGACTGGCACTTGTCAGGTAAAAAAGAAAAAAGAAAATTACCTTTTTTGGTGCTGAAGGAGTCAGCCACAACAAGAGCACTCTGAGTGATCCCAGCAGCAGCTCCAGACAGTTGGCTCCCAGCAGCTCTGGCTTTCTCCCCTCGTCCCCTGCTGCCTGACATCTCGGAGTTCTGGCAATTTAAACTCTGTCCCAAGCACAGCCACCAATCCCCGTATGGTGGAAAAAGATGAGGTCATGAGGCTCGTGGCCACCGCCCTGCCCACGTTCTCCTACACTTCCTCTTTGGCTTTGTGGCTTTTGAAGCAAACAAAAACCATTCTAAGGTTGAAACATTACTTATGAGCAAGATAATTAACCAGCAGGTCTGTTGAATGCACAGTGTTTGTTTGGTATCGCGTAGGAGGGCTTCAGGGCATGCCTGGTTTACTTCTGTAAAAAGCCCAGCTTTCCAGAAATCTTTTGTACACTCTTCTGTAGGGGGTAGGAATGTCTAAAGTGTGCTGGAAGAAATAAATCTGTACATAAAATTCACCAAAGATGTGTTAATGTTTCCACAGAACTGTGGACTTTCTCTCCAGGGCATGCATGGTGCTACAGGAATTGCAAAGATGTTGCAGAATATGGCCTTTTGCATTTTTTGGTCTACCTGGATTCAAAAAAAAAAAATAAAATTAGTAGTACTAGTTGTCTGTGTAGGCATTCTGCATCCCGTAACTTGTTTGTAAAGATGTACAAGAGCTCTTATTAAAGAAGATTGGTGCATCCTTATGAGGAATTATGAGGAATTCTTACTCCTTTTCTGTTCATTTGTATTCCTTCTGGCTCCTTTCTCAGGTGGTTTGGTCAAGTCATCTGCTACAGCTGTCTCATGCACCAAATCCATTTCAGAACCTTCTTCAGGGACCAGTTACCAGATATTTTTCAATAAAAAAAAAAAAAAAAAAAAGGAAGAAAAGAAAGCACAGATATAGCTCCAGCATGAGGAGTACCATGATTGGCATTGGGAAGCAAAGGACATCATGGGATGAAATTCCATGCCTGCTCTGGAGCAGTGCATCAGCCCTGCTGATGGGTGACAAATCTATTGTGGCCTCCCTTAGATGTCCCTAACTTTGGACTGATTCTGCATCAGCTGGGATGTGCTGGGGGACTCTCAGACACCCTTCTGTGTGGTGTTTCTCTAAAAGAACAATGAGGAGTCATTCAAACACAGAAAAACATTCCAAACAGCCCTCTGAGAAGGCGGAATATTTGTAACTGTTTCAAGGTGGTTATCTTGCTCCTCATTTGTGACACCCCACTGGTGTTTGCTGTATCTTTAGCCAAGCAGACAAGACCTGTTTGTAGCAGCTCCTGTTCCCAGTTATCCTGTGCTTACTGGCACTGCTGGGGCATGCTTAAAGACATCAGGAGCAGCATACCCATGCTTGGCTCAGCACCTCCCGGTTACACCATCACACAGACTAGCTGATTATATTTTTGACTTGAGATCAGCAACAGCTGGAAGTTCAACTTAGTGTACTTAAGAGAGTGTTCTAATATCCCAGTGGGAGAACTGGATAAAAACATTGTAATAGCATATCATTAGTTGTTCTGACTGTAAGGATCCACCTGAGCGAGGACCATCCTAGCTTTTCTTTTTGAAGCCATATGACCATTGTCATAACATAACTCAGGAAAGACTTTTCAACTAAAAAAGCCTTCAGCAACTCGGATTTCAGCATCAAGATCTTATGCAGATTTAGACAGATCTACCATCTCCCATTATATCTGCAGCTCAGGGCTGCTGAAAACTAGTTTGCTGAAGGCCTTGAATGCAGATACAGGACTCCAGCTGGAAGTGGGTGCTCTTTGGAACTGTTGATTTGGGCATCAGGTGGTAGCCAATACTTACTTAGTTACTAAGAGGGCTTCAAAAGGCCACTGCTGTTGACTCCAGGGAACCCCAAGCCAGGCCCTTAGGTAGCCAAGTACATTTTGTCCCAAACACCAGTCCGGACCATCAGCAAAAAACTACTTTGGTCTGACAGAGCAAAAATGGAGACAGAGTGAAGCCAGTGGCTCGCACCACTGCATGTGGGACTGGGTGTGCTGTTCCTGCTCTCCTGTCCACACCCTGAATTAAATTTTAAGCCTGAAAACCCCACTTTCCCTACAAGCCTCTCATCAAGAGACACAGAACTGAAAAACAACATTATGCTCAAAGATCCTCTTGTGCTGCTGTCTGGCCAAAACCAACACTTGCAATCTACATAACGGCGTATTACAGTGTATCAGACCATCGGGAAAATCCATATTATGTAAACAACCTGTTTCACCAAGTTCAGCAGCAGTTATCAGTTGTGCTGATGGAGCCATTAGAAACAGAGCCTTCCTGCAGTTTATTACAGACATTCCTGTACAGGTCAATTATTACTGTGGCACCTCAAGGCAAATGTTTTGCAAGAGCCTGGAACCCTTGTCTCCCAGCAGAGCCTCTGTGTGACCCCCAGGGAGCTGTTTATGGAAAACAACTGGTGTTTCCAGTGTGCTGGGAGATGACAGTGTTTTTGGGCATGTTGCCAAACATACTACACAATCCACAACACAATCTATATGGTAGATTTTGTAAGAGTTAAGGAGCAGCAAGGATGTTTTGCAGTAATCCAGAAGCAGGATGAGAAGCCATGGCTATTACTAAATGTCTTCATTTTATGCAAGATTAGCCTGTACAGAGCTATAGTAAATTTAGCACTTGTCTCATGCCTGTCATTATGTGGTTATTCCTCCTGTAAATCATCTAGCTGAGAAATCCTTTGCCTTGGTAGGATTTGTGCTTCTTTTGGTGAAAGCAGGGAGCTTTCACCATTTTCACTGCCCACATTAAAATCCATAACTCTGGAGAGAACTCTTGTCTGCTGGTGGCACAGCAGAAGCAGCGTGCTTGAATTTGTACAGGTGGGAGGGTATGTGATTCTGGCTTTCAAGATCTGTCAGGGTCAGTGCAGAGCATGATTCTGGCTGTGATTTGTTGCCATGTAGGTGACATTTTCTACTTGTCTGTCCTGTCAAACAAAGCTTTTGACCACAATTCCTTCCACCCTGGGCTATATTGGTAACATGTGGTTAGGCTGTCATTTTGTGCTGTCAAGAAGCTGTATCAGTGCCTCCCTATGCAACCTCCAACATTACCTAAGATCCTGAACTAGGACATCAGTGTGATGCCCAGCAATACCTCTGGCTGGCTTGGGAAATCCCAGCCTCCCTGCAGTGACCTGCAGTGGTCAGTCAGCTTTCAAGACAGCTGGCTTTTGTTGAATTTTGTTCATCAAAAAACAGGTCTGGAGGTGAACATGAAAAAAGACTAGATGGCAAAGACTAAGGCTGGAAGAGAGAGGCTATTTTCTTTGGTGGCATTAAGAATGCTGTCAAATACTGTTTTGCAATTAGACTATCTCCAAGAAAGGCAGACTTAGTAAAGATAGGTTTCTGTGAAAGACAGATGAAAAGCAATATTACTACCATAAAATGCTCTTTGGAAACTCAGTGTATTAACCAATATACCTCCCAAAGCCATTACATTTTCTTAATTAAACCTTCAGTAGTGAGGAAAAGCTTACCTACAGCAGTGGGTAGACTTAAAGGCTTCTGCCTCTTAAATAGACTACATAGACCACCACAGTGTTTGTGTCTGAGCCCAGGAGAATATTTGGTATGCAGTAGAGATAGGGGTGTCAGATCTGTTTGATAAAGAAATTACAACAGAGATTTTCTCCTTACACATGTGAGCAGGGCACCCTGATAACAAATG